GCCGCCCGTGCTCAAGTGCCTGCTGCTCGGGAGCGACCCGCAAGGTGCGCCCGGCGCCGCGCCGCGGGGAGGGGGCGGCGGCGCCTGTTCCGGGAGCGCTCTCGGCCTCTGATTCCAGCTCCAGCTTCTTACGAGGGAGGCCCTGCGCTCCCGCCCTCGCACGGGAACCAGCCTGGGCACGTGTCCCGCTCCTGGCGGCCAGCGGCCGCCTCAGGCAAAGGGGGATTCACCTCTGGCTTCTCCAGGGGAATCTAAGCGTTAAAGCAACTTTAAATTCTCCTCTGTAGAAGTTTCAAGGACAAATCTGATCTTTCCCGGTGTGCCACCTTAGCCGGGTCTGTGTGGAAGTGCCTGCTCCACAGCGTGTTAGGGAGCGGAACGGGCCCCGTGTGCGGGGGCTGCCTGGCCAGGGCGCTGCGCACGCCGGTGTCAGAGGCACCCGGGCCCTCCCAGAGCCCTCGAGGAAGGGAGGGCCGTCATGCAGCCGCAGCACTCTGTGGACTAAATCCAGTGGGAGAAAGCAGGGTGACAGAAAGAGGATGAGGAACAACTCGGAATAACGCCCCCACACAGAATATAGGGAGTAGATCTGTGCTGCTTTGGGCAGGATCTACTGCCCAGACTGCTTTCCTTTAATTCAAATAGAAATGATTTAAAGAATGCAAACAAAACCTAAATTTAAATAAAATCTCTGTTTCCATTGAGCATGTGTCTTTCAGCTTTGACTTACAGAGTACTGTACTTAAAATCTATGTCTCTGCAGGATAATGAGGGGGAAATAAGACTACTTTTGCATAAATCTGTGATTCATTCTGTTCTTTATAGCCAATCTTACTAACTGCTTTTGCAGTCATTTTATTTGCATCAAAGAAAGATTGAGCCATTTTTCCTCCTTTAAAAAACTGTAGTCTTCCAAAAAGACATTCTCCAGATGGTCAGTTCAAGAGCCCTGTGTGAATCGTGTGATTTTTCTCTTACAGTTAAAAAAATATCTACAGACATTCTGCAGTACGTGGTAGAAGGCTGCCAAGCAGGGGCAGGAGGAGAACACGCCGCCCAGCTGACTGCTGTCTTTAGGTAACCAGCAGCTTTGCCAGTTGGCAGCAAAGCTATCGCAAGGCCATTGACAGCGAGCATATTTCTTTTAAATAACTAATTATCCTTAACATACTGCATTGTCACTTGTTTGCAGTACTTAAATTGTTGTACTTCTGGCACTGGTTTTAAACCTGCCGTGGCCAAAAAAGCCAGAGCAAAGAAAAAGATAAAAGCAGGAAACACCTCGCTTTTCTTATGGATCGGGTACTATTTTGAAGAGCCAGTCGCAGAGGAGACTTGGGGCCCTGTAATGTGAGATATTTTCATGGGTGGTGATGCTCAGTGTTAGCTACTGTGACAAATAAAGGTGCCTGCCTAGTTAAAGAGCATCGTAACGGATATCAGATGCTCATATAAAGAGCTTTATTTTTATTTACATTTAGGGTTGCTTTTAGCGCCAGAGCCGCTGGGGAGCTGCCGGCAGAGCCAGCGCAGCCGCAGGGCCGGGAGCCGGGACGTGCTGGGGGCGGCCTGGGGAGCCCGCGGCACCCGCCTCGCGCCCACAGCACTCGCTGCGTGGGGCAGACTTCCCTCTCACTCCCGATTCTAGCCCAGTCTGTGAACTCGGGAATATTTGGGAATATTTTCCTTTTTTTTTTTTTTTTTTAAATCCAGCATTACCTGCAAAAATGTAGAGAAAATATTCCAAATAAGAGTATTTCAGTGCAAAAATATGCAATTTTTCATGATGGGGATTGCTTGTTTGAGGAGGCTCTTGTTTCTCGGCCCGCTCTCTGCGTTAGTTCTGACCTTTGTGTCTCCCGCAGGCAGTTTATCCAGGACTACGCAGCCCTCTATGATCAGCGGGTTTTCAGCATCCTCGAAACAGTGGCCGTCCTGGATCAGGCCTTAGTCGCCTGCCTGATCCCCACGATCACAGAGTGTCTCAAGGACTCGGAGCACAAGCAAGGCCTTGGAAGGAACTCGGCGCAGAGGTTTGTGCAGGCGGCCCTCTAAAATCCATTGCTTATTCACACTGAACGGGAGAGCTTTTATTCTCTTTCTAGAGAGCAGTGCGAGCAGCAAAGATGCTCAAAAAGGAGCGAGTTTTAAGTGTGTTCAGATAGCAATCTACCTTTCTTTATGCCTTTGGTGGTTCTAAGCCATCCATATTTGCTGACTGTTTTCACAGACATTTTGACACTAAGCCCACAGACTCCCCCCAAAAAATTTATTGACAGCCAGATTGTCTCTGGACACTACACTGCGTGCTCTAAAATACAGACGAGAATTCCTGCCCCAAAGGCTTTGTCTTATTTGTCTGCAAGTCCTTGCTTTAGAGGATGCAGATTATATGTAAAACGCAGTATAATCATATATGACCTGAGATTTCATAATTATTTCATAAATTATTTGCTTTTTATTACCCTCTACCAAAAAATACATTTGTTTTATTTATAGGACTTCACAGTAGGTCAGACTGTAGTACTATTATATGCATTTTCAGATGAATTTTCCTACTGTCTGCATTTGTCCTTTTAGTAATGTACTTCATAGTCAACTTCCTTTGCTTTTTGTTTTGTTTTCATACTACCAATAAGGCAAAATTCATTCCTTTACTTACAAGGAAGAAAGAAAATAGGTTTGAAACTCCTCAAATATATGCGTCAGAATTAACAGCCAGGTTTCTTCTAATTGTATTCCTTAACATTCACATTATCAAACCTCTCCGTGATGTCCTGTGTTAATAACTGGTATTTAGAAGGTGTCCCCTTATCCAGCAGTGCGAGGGGCTCCGTGACCGCCTCCGTGTGCGTGCACTAACACCCGCCCTTCTCTTTGCAGTCCTGCCCAATATAACATTACATTAACATATTCAGTTCAATTACATGGAAGCCAAAACCTACGTATGCAGGAGAAACCCGGCCAGAAGTTTAATGCGATCCCTATAGCAGCAATGCCCAGTGTGACTGGTGCCAGGATCCAGTTTGAACGTTGCAGGAAATGCCTGTTTCCCACTCAGTTTGCTCGAGCTGGTGACTGCATGAGGGAGCTGCGCAGTCATCGGCCTCCCCTTCCCCCTTCCCTTCCCTTCCCTTCCGCTGCCGGCTGGACTGGGCAGCGTCACGGGCCCCGCGCTGAGGGACCCTGGCAGCCCCACGCGCCCCACCGCAGCCTCCCCGCCGCATGGCAGCCGCGCTGGCAGCTCCGGCCTCCTTCCCAAGCCTGGAATGCGCGGAGGGGAGGGCAGCGCCCCCCACGGCAGCGAGAGCCCCCGGGCGGCCGCCCGCGCACGAACCGAACGCCAGCCGGGACGAGGGCCGAGCGCGCGGCTCCTCCGAGCCTCGGTAGCTCCGTGGAGCTTTAAAGTTCAATATATCTTTATCTCTCCTTCATACCGTCTGGTTTAATATCCCAGTTAAACCAGCGGGCAGTTGTGTGCTTTACGTGTGCGTTCAGGGACACGTTACATTCTTTTGGCTTTTTTCAACAGAGAAGCCTACAAGAGACTCTTATCTCACCTCGCAGAGGCTGGACAAAATGAGATACAAAAGCTGGAAAATGAGACAGATTAGCAGCGTGTTGGCAGTGGATCCCTGCCTCTGGAATCTTCTCTCACTGTTGACACCTGAAACAGGACTTTGCGACACACGGCCCAAGCTGTTTATCTTTACAACTGCAATGCACTGGGCCTTTTTTTGGGTCAGTCATTGATTATAGTGATTTCTGCAGTATTGGAATAATGTCATGTGTGTGAACTCATGCAACTCAATATATTGTTAAATGACAATTGAAATATGTTTCCTGTTAAAATGTTTACATGAGCAGAAGAGCCTGCACAGCAGCCTACGAGGTGGGATTTCAGAGGACCAAAATTCCCATTTCAATTCACATTTTCAGTTCATCTGGTCTCCTAGCAGTGAACCTTTGAACCCCCTTCCCTTTGAACTCGCTATGTTCTTAAGAAACTTGACAGCTCCTCAGCTTCTAATTCAAACTATTAGTAGGGTGGGAAAGACAGTGACCCCCCTGTGCAGAGCAGGGTGCTGGGCTCTGTCCTGGAGCTCTCCTACACCAAGGGAAGCCTTGGGAGCATCCTGTATGGAAGTCGTGCAGCGTCCTCCTGTATTGAAACAAGAAAGCCCTGCACACTGCAGTGTGAAATCTCTTCTGTTTTCCTGGTAATATAAGCAAAGGTAAGCTCAGATTTCAACACTAGATTTGTAAAAATTAACCTGGAATTTACAGAGATATTTTTTAAGTATTCATGCTATTCATGGAAATGTCCTTTTGACTTGGGCTACATGCAAGTGGTGGGACGAAATAGAAGAGAGGGCAGAGGGACTTGAAAAAAAACCTCATTTTGGAAATTAATTTTATTACATCATCGGCCAGTGTTTATTTGACTAAAAAGCTGGATTTTTCAAGTATTTTGTCTGTGCTTTTTTTTTTTTTTTTTTTTTACTTTTCCCAGGGAACTTTCATGAATACCTGTGGAACGCAGGTTGCTCAGATGGCCTGTATTTCTGCAGCTACTTCCTGCACACCGCGCAGCACCGGTTTGCTCCTCGTGGCAGCCCCTGAGCAGGATGCCACTTTTATAGTTATTCAAATTTATCTGTAATGGGAAGGCGAGATTATTTTCGTGTCTAGCAACTGCAAGAAAAAAAATCCCTAAAATCTCCTTCAGAGCAGCTTCTGTTTCGTCACTGTAATCCTGTTGAGTCAAAACAGATGATCTTGTTCCCCGAATCAGCTGTCGCTGCTTGGGCTAATGCAGTAACTAAAAGCCTCTTTAGGCTACTTAATAGTGCAGAAGACAGAGGCTCTTTTCATTATGGAAGTGACTTCTTGAACTTGCATTGTAGCTGCTTGTGAATGTCTGTACCTGGGAGGAGTTTTATTCATCGCAGGGGAATTATGCCTCTAAAAAGCTTTTTTTATTTCTTATCTATAAATAGATAAAACAACCCCCCCAAAACTCCAAGTTTAATACTGGCTGCAGTGGTTGGCAGTTTCAGAAAAAACAGCAGAGCTTTATGCAAATGCGAGATGGCACTTGGTGCATGAGAAACTAATGTCAACAGGTTGGGAATTACCATTCTTCCCTGTGAGAAGTTAACGTGCACAGAAAGCCAGCTCCGCGCCGGGCATCATGAGCCCCTGCCCCCGGGGCGGCCGTGGGCACGGGGGTGACAGGGCTGATGAGAGACTAGAGTCGAGAGAGACTTAGCGAGGAAGTTCCAAAGCTCCCTCCAAAGTCGGGAGGAAAAGAAGACACTGCTGAATTTAAGTACAATATAGGAAAAGGGAGGATTGAGAAGCACCATAAGCTTTAAAAAAATGTGTTTTGCCCTATTATATGCTATTTGCATCAGGTCTGCTGAGGAGGAGCCTTCCTGAAGAGCAGGAGGAGAAAATTTAAGTTGTTCCTGGCTTCCACTTTCAATGGTAAAAAAGGTAGTGGTGGGGAAGGAAGGCACTGGTTTCAACGAGCAATTCCTACATGAAACAATCCCTCCTCTTACGCTGCAAGGCAGCATCAGGGCCAGGCACAGGACGGGGTTCAGCAGCTCCGGGGTGGCCGCACGGAGCAGGGGCTGCCCACAGGGAACTGTTGAAATGGACCTTGAAGGAACTTCTGGGACTGTCCACTTACCAGTGACATATTTCCCTGAGGATACAGACACGAGGCTTTACTGCGTGCTGTTTTCTTCTTTCGGTAGCTTTTAAAATTATGCATGGGTCTTTTCAGTTTAATCATATTTTATAATTTTTAGCTATTACTTAAAGCGCAAATTCAGTGTAATCAGCCCATCTGTTAGCAATACTTAGAAAATTATGTTGAAGATGAAAAAATCGGATGCAGTGTCAATATGTCCTCGCATAATTAAGCTTGTCTGATAGTGAATGACTAAGAAATGGCTTTTGTCTCGTGCAGGAGCTGCTTCCGCAGCCAAGCTCCCTGCGCACAAAATGTGCACAAAAACTTTGTGTGCCTGTTAGTGCACAAAGTATCCCGGTTGTGGACGGAGGGAAACCAGCCAAGCCCCTCACACCCTCTCCCAAAGGCTTGGGCTTCTTGCAGCCCTTGGGGGGGGGACAGGGAGTTACGTTCACCCCATTCTTAAATCCATCGGACACTGTCATCTCAGCTACAGTGCCCTACCTATGGATGCCACCCAAAAGGGCATTAAAAATTCCAGTTTGCTAAATGCCCTTACTAATTTTAGACAGGGCCAACATAACCTGCACAGCAGCGCTGCAGAAATCAGCACAGCTTTCATCTTTATGCAGGGAGAGCTACTCTGTTCTTCAGTCCTTTAAGCACCGTAACATAATCTAACTATGCAGAGAAACATTTAAAATATTTTAGCTCTGGCCTTACTCTGGAACAACCCTCTATCAATCATCTCTTTTGAAAAAAAAAATTTAGAGACATTTTTTTTTTTTTTTTTTTTGCCTTTAAAATGTGTTCTGGGGGGGGAAAAAGATTTTGTGTGGCAAAGTAGCGCTGTGGCAGCCCTTGAAGCAGCCTCGTGGCTGCGCGGGTGCGAAGCCTCCTCTGCCCCAGGCTGCCCCCGAGGGGCTGCCCCCGAGGGGCTGCCCCGCTGCCCTCCCCTTGTTGCTGCCCCCTCATTTCAGGGGGCGGCCGCTGCCCCTTTCCCCGCTGCTGCCCAGTCCACGGCGGCTGCTCCTGCCTCCGAGTAGTCGGCTAGCTCCTCCTCCGGGATCCGGCACCTGCGGCGCTGGGCTCTGCGCAGCTCTGGGGCACGGGAACCGCCCAAGGGGAAACTCAAAGGAGGCAGAGCCGCAGCCCCGGCAGCCGGCGTTCCTGCTCCTCCCTCGCTGCAGCGCTCAGCGAGAGGCCCCTTAGCGCGGAAGGGCCCCTCGCGGAAGGGCCCCTCGCGGAAGGGCCCCTCGCGGAAGGGCCCCTCGCGGCACCGGCGCCCCCCGGGCACCGCCGCAGCCTCGGGCCGGGCTGGCGTCCCCAACCACTGCGGGTGCCCTTCCCATAGGGACCTGTGAGACGGATATCGGAGACGCGGCGGCGGTAGCCGAGCCAAGGCAGAATACAACAGGTTGGAGCGTTTATTCCAAGCGGACATCTGCCTGGAGGATGGCACGGAGGCTCACCTATAAACTGAGAGAATAAATAAATATTGACATTGTTATACACCTGTTTAGCCTCCAGAGACCAGTGATTTGTGGGACCATATGTTGGACAAAATGAGGCTGTTTGTTTGTAACTGTAGATGTGGTGACCCTTTGCAAAATGGATATTAAAAATATTAAGTAAATGGCACATTTTAATTACAGAGTAAAGAGGCTGTTCTCCACTATTAAAAGACTGCAGCTGCCAGGCAGAGTCCATCAGATGACGGAAGGTACCATTGATTTGGTAGGGGACCTTGGCAAATGACATCCCAAATGATCTTCAGAGTCGCGGACCAACACGTCCAGCTCAGCCTTGGGTCTCAGCACGAAGCGGCAGCAGCTCTGGCTTCCAGACTATCCAGTTACCAGGTGCCTTCCTCACACACTGTAAGGCTTCTCTGTTTGCTCTTGTACTTTTGTTTTCATCTGCTTGGCAGTATTTAAACATCCACTGAAGCATCACCAGGTGAGAAACTGTTAGCTTGGAAGCACCAGTCCATGGGTTTGTTACTGCTCTCGCCGGGTGCCGTGTTGCGTAAGGGCCAGTTGGGCTCCACCTTGGGCTGCACAGACACGGCCTGCACGTGGCTCCCAGCAGTGCCCCGGCGCAGCCCACAGCGGCAGCAGCCCCATGGCGAGCCCCACGCAGCCCCGCCACGTTGCGTAGGGAAGCTAAATAGGCGCCAGGGCGCGAGGGGGCAGGAGCAGAGAGGCCGAGGCTCTGGCGCGCGTTCCGCACCCCTGAGGCAGGGGAGAGGATCCGCAGGCCCGTCTCGGAGCCCCCTGCCCACTGGATCTGGCTGCAAGACAAGTGTGTGCCGAGGGTGACGCGGCCGCCCACACGTGTCCGGCCTTTTCCATCCTCGGTGCAGAGGAGCCCTTCCAGGGCCCGAGCTGGATCCGTGCCCCGTGTCACAGGGTGCCCATGCGGTGGTGGGGCACTTGCAGCGTCCGCAGGTCGGGGCACGTGAAGCAGGGCGCGGGGAGGAAGCAGGCGGCGATGCCGTTGGAGGCGAAGGGCAGCGTGGGCCCGTAGAACACCTCCTCCTTGCCCTCCTTGCTCGCGTCCAGCACCTGCCGGCAGAGCATGGAGAACAGCCCACGGAGCCACCGCAAAAGAACCCGCAACGGAAGGGCTGGCGCTCCGCACCAGCGCGCTCAGGATCCCACCAGGAAGGGCTTCCCATGGCCCTGACCGGCACTTGGGGAGCTGGAGCCTTCCCGGCGCTGTGTGCAGCAGGGGCGAGCGCAGCGCGGGGGCAGCCCCAGCCGCGGAGCGGGGCACAGCCGAGCCAACCAGGGCCAGCACGAGGACGGGGAACGCGGGGGGTGTCCCTTCCCAAGGAGAAGGCAAACCCCCATTTGCTGCGTTTGGAGCTCCAAGGGCCGGGTTAGTGGTGGCCAGGCACAACGGGAGATGGAGACGGGGAGGAGGCTGCCCGTGCTGCTCTGCCAAGGCACTTCCCGGGTTCCCTTCCGAGCTGAGACACCGGGGCAGGCTGCCAGCTCACAGCCGCTCCGGACACGTGGACAAGTCCATTTGGAAAACGGAAGTTCCCAGGATCGTTTTCACTTGTCATGGAGCAGCATTTAACCCCGGGGGCAGCACCAGTGCCAAGAACCTGCTGGCTGTAACCGAGTGTCTGGTGTGGGCCGCCCCGCGGCGGTGCTGGGGCCGCTCTGCAGCCCCTGCTGCCAGCCCCGGCCGCCCGGGAACCGCGCCAGTGACGGCCCTGCAGCGCTGCAGCCGGCAGCGGCTCGGAAAGTGGACCTGCCCTTTAGCCAGAACAGAGTTCGGCTGTGTCTCTTGCCCCATCACAGAATCCCAGAAGGGCTGAGGTTGGAAGGGACCTCGAGAGATCATCTAGTGCAACCCCCGTGCTCCCAGGGGCTTTCTCGTGCCCCTTGAGAATATGTGCCCTCCCATCTACCCCACTCCCACAGGAGAGATTCCTCAGCCCTCTTCTACTGGAAGATCCTATTTAGAAGAATTACATTTAATAACTATCCTGGCAATCTTTTTAATACCCACAGTGTTTCCTCTGAGCATTTCTGAAGGCTCAGTGGCTGCATGAGAAACACCTTTCACCTCTGCCCGTCACCCTCATTTTCACTTTTGAATAACCTCTGCAGAAAACAAAAAGTATCCTTGCAAAATTACTGGCAAAGACTTTTAAAGAAACCTAAATCACTCACCTGGATACAAGCCAAGGGCTCATTTGTCCAAATCGAATAGCCACCGACTAAATATATTCTGCCATTGTGCACAGCAACTCCAGACTCATTCTGACCTAAAGTAAAAACGGAAATAGAACTAGAAGCCACTTCCAATGTTCAGGTGACCCTTTGGCACTGACCGCAGACGCGCGTGGCTGCAACCTGGGCGGCTCTGAACTCAGCACGTGGCACGGGGCCGCGTGGCGGAGCCAGCGGCGCCTCGCGCGATGCCGCTGCACCGGCCGCCCTTCCCAGGGCCTGCAGAGCAGCGCAGAAACAAGGACTCACCGTGCGTTGGACAAGCTACTCTGCTTGCTTTATTTAGCCACATTTTTGTGCATCTTCCTAAAAATTACACCCATGATACCCTAAAGCTGATGTGTCACAGACAGGTGTGTGCCAGACCCGCAACCGAAACTCCTGCCGGCAGTGCCCAGGCCACCCACATCCGAGGCACTTAAGCCGCAGGGTTTAACCCCCAAGGGGCATGGAAAGGCGGGGAAAGGGGCTGCTTTAAGGGGAAAGGGGAGCAGCGGGGAGCTCGCCGGCCGTGCGCCTACTGGCCTGTCAACATGCTGAAGCTGCAGCGCGTCCACTGGTCCGTGTCGATGTTGTAGGCGTCGATGTGGCGGACGAGGACGCGGTCGTTGTTGTAGTCGAGGTCGTTGCCGCCCAGCACGTAGAGCCTGCGCTGCACGGCGCCCATCGAGTGGTAGACGCGTCTCTGCGGCATCGGGCTGCGGCCCAGCCACTTGTTCTGCGGGCGGCCAAGGCAAAGGGGCTCGAGCACAGCAGCAGCCGCCGCCGCCTCCTCGGGGCCCTTCCGCCCCACATCACGCTCAGCATATCCTGGGCCTTCTACGCCACCTGCTATGCTAGCCCTCACATTTAATTTTATTAATTTATTAGTGTTTCTGACTCTGTGTTTTTCTATTGATCTCCTCAGATTTCAATGTTTTTTTTCCCCCTTTTACACTTCAGCAGCAAATCCTTCTTAAGCAGCACTATTACGCTTCAAGCACAAATGAAGTTTTAGATGTCTCCTTTGAATACAGCACTGAAATTATCCGGAGCAGCTAGTTATGTTATGGCAGGAGAGAGATTCTTCTACCTTCCGTTAATCAGGAGCCTATTTGATCTTATCCTTGGGGAGCAAAGCAACAGGGAAAAACCCTTTCCTAAAGACTCCTTTCAAACGACTCAGGAATTTGGTTTCATGCTAACCCTTTATTTTCGGGCTCTTGCAAAGCAACATCCCTTTGCAAATCTTCCTTCCTGATTAATGGTATTCCAGAGTGCTACTTTTTGAGGAAAGAGGAGGGGGGACAAGGAAGCCAAGGGATTAAGACACGGCATTTTAAGCGTCAGAAAGCAAGAGCTCCGGCTACCCTTAGGCGAATGAGACAACCCCGCAATCCGCCCACATTCGTGTCTCCAGGGAAGTGAAGCTACAAATCCCTGGGCAGATCCCAGTGCCGCACGCGCTGCACGGGGCCGGGCCTGGGCAGCTCCTGCGACGCTGCCACGGTGCCGAGCGCGGGGCCCCACTGCGACGCCGCGGGGCAGCAACCCACGGCAGCAGTGCTAGGAAGCAGCACGGGTGCCAACGGGGCGCAGGGCGCGTGCGGAGGCCGCTGCGCCCGCTCTCCAGCCTGCTTCCTGGGCCAGCGAGCGCCGGGACGCACAGTGTGGGGTACAACGAGCCTGCCCCTAGGCACAGCCCCTGCCCCTAGGCACAGCCCTGCCCCTAGGCACAGCCCCTGCCCCTAGGCACAGCCCCTGCCCCTAGGCACAATCCCCTGCCCCTAGGCACAGCCCCTGCCCCTAGGCACAGCCCTGCCCCTAGGCACAGCCCCCCTGCGCCCACGGAGCACAGACGTGGCAGGAAAGCTGCCCTCCTGTGACGCTGCCTCCATTACCTGCTGCCCAGGGCTTTGCTATGGAAAAATGAACAAGCTAAATAAACACCACTGAGATCAGGGAATTTAAAATAGTTTTCCATATTTTATCCAAGATCTTTCTGGCACCTGAGGGCTTCAAAATTATTGAAAATATCAGCGTCTCCATTACGAGGTTGAACAAAAACATGAGTACGGAGTTAGTGTGAAATACTAGCAACTCACAGGGACATCACTTTCAACTTTACAAAACCTCCTGGGGCCTTTGCTAATAGATGTGTTTAAAGCAAAACGTATGGGAAAAACACACACAACACGGACACCCACCTGCTTCGGATCATAGACCATGAGCCTGTTCTGGTACTGCGCGGTGTTTGTTACTCCTCCTGTGAAAGAGTTTACACAGGTTACGTTTTTTCACATGAAAAAAACCAAGACCCAGATGGTGCAAAGCAAACCAGCCAGTCCCAGGGTTCACCTGCAGACACGCTTATACTGTCCCAAGCAGATACACTTTCCTTTGCGCTGCGTTTGTCGTCTGGTGAAGATGACATTTCTCAAAAACACCGTGACATAAAAGAGCGACATCCAGCTCCCCTCCCGCTTTCGCTGCAAGACGGAACGCCACGGCTAGCCAACAGGGTAAGAACGGATCTGCTCGGGAATGCCGGCCCGTTTGGCCCTTTCCGGGACACGGAGACGGGAGCCGCCGCTGCCACCACCACTGCTGCCGCCGCCGCGAGGACACGCGGGGCCTGCCACGGTTTAGGAGAGGAGGAGGAGGAGGAGGAGAAGGAGGAGGAAGAGGAGGAGGAGGAGGAGGAAGAGGAGGAGGAGATTTTGTGTCACGGAGGAGGAAGGGGTCGCAGAAGAGCTGTCCCAGCGCGCGACTCTGAGCAGCTGCGCGACATATGTTAAATTCTGTACTTGCCTTGGATTAATGCGGGAGCATCCCTGGCTTAGCTGTAGCCTTGTGCTGGGAGCTTCCCCCACGGTGACCAGCAACACCAGCCGTTCACCGGTACTTTTCTCAGCAACGTGGAGCCAGGGTGAGGGGCACCTTAGAAAAGCCTAGGGTGGGTTTTATCGAAGCAGGTACCAGAACCAACTCCTCACCCCAACGTGGGCAGCACATGTTGCTGTAACTGGCTGGGTTTGCTGGGAAACCTCAAGGAGGGAAAGGCGGGAAAGGCCTCGGGCTCCAGGCTGCAGCCCCAGCTGGGCCGACGCTCCCCAGGTGTGTCGGAGCTGCCGGGCCCAGCGGCGCCCCGTCCCCACCGCTCCCCGCACCCAAGCCTGCAAGCCGGGATAAGGAGGAAGCTGCTCCTCTAGGTTTGTCCCAGCAGGAATGGGGGCGCCCCCAAGGCCCTCGGGCAGCCACGTGCCAGGGAAAAGCAGGGGGGCCAACAAGTGACGGGACGGAAAAGAGCACCGAGGCTGGGGAGGGAGACGCGAAGGAGGGAGAGAAAGGCGGGAGCTGCTCCCCGGCAAAATGAGGGAATAACCAAACACACAGAACTGTTTTCCTCTCTCCACAAAGAGCCCTGGCGCCAAGCGCGCGGCAGCTCTCGGCTCTCCCCTCAGTACTGCTCGTCTGAGCTGCTTGATCATTACATTCCCTGCACACACCGCTCCCCACTTTTAGATTAATCTGCCAAAATGAGATGCTGAGGATTTGCATACAGATTTGACTACACAAAAATAGATCTGGAATTAATAACAGTCTCTATATGTTTTAATTTCTCCCAGACTGGAGTACCCTTGCCTCCAGCAGCATTCCCGGCTTTGAAAGTCATCAAGCTGATTTGTCTGCTCTTAGGTTACGATGCCACATGCTGCTACACTGTCCCCTGCAATCAAAGCGCTTGCGGAGACGGATTCCGAGCCTTCCCCTAACAAGTGTATTTTATAGATTGGCAGTTTTGATCTCCCCTCCCCAGGGGGATAATCTGCATCTTAACAGGTTTCTATAGATACATCTGTCATACATCTTATATCTGCATCAATTTTCAAACTCAAGTTCCTCCCAACTTTGAAGCTCTGGAGCAAAAGTTGAAATTTTTCTGCCAAAATTCAAATCTGACATGTCTGTAAAGTCCTCTTGAACCCTTCCTTTAAAAATACTCCAGGCAGCTGGGAGAGGGCACAAGAAGAGCAATATGTCTCTTAACAGGCAAAGGAAAAGTTTAAGCATTACCAAAAATAGATATTTTCTCTCAGACAAAAATGCCTTAACCCCAAGATGATTCCTTAAATTTCTCTGCAGTGCTCTGCGGTAGCAGCACGGACAAACCCGTAGCAGAGGTGCGTGTTGCCGGGCTGGGTGCCAGGCAGTGGCTGGGGACAGGGCAGTGGCAGCAGGGACAAGCAGGGCAGAGCCTGCAGCGCGCGGGGCGGGCGGCCGCCCTGCGACGGAGGCGACGCGGCCGCTGCCGCTCCAGGCACCCGCGCGGGGCCGCCTGGCGCGGCGCGGCGCTCGTCCGGACGAGTTCTCACCCGCCTCTGAACTTCAAGCTAAACTAAGAGAGAGGGCTGTGGGGAAAAGAAAAAAAAGAACGGGCAAGGGAATAGCATGGCATGAGCACCAAAGGGGATGAAGCTGGCAACGCCTCCCTGCGCCAGGAGCAGGGTGAGGGCCAGGGGCTCCGTGCGCAGGGAGCAGGGTGAGGGCCAGGGGCTCC